CCAGATCACTTTCATTTAAATCATTCATACTCTATTAAAAAATTCAGAATGTCAACCACCCTCATTAAAAAGACTTCTAATCAGGAAGCCAGGCTTTTATTAGTCATTAAAGCTTATAAAACTTAGTAAATTACAACTATTAAAGCTGTTTCTAAGTTATATAATATTCTCTATTCTTTTTAATATATAAACTATATAGTCAAATCACACTATAAATACTCAATTAAAAAATCAAAAACTGATCTCTATAAAAGAAAAATCTCTAGTTTAATAAATAATCTTTATGAATAAGAGAGAACAACTTTCTTAAATCATGACTATATGAGAAATGATTAATCTACTATTTAAAAAGTATGAATTTAGTACTTCTACTATTGTAAAAGAATATTGAGTCAATAGATTTATACAACAGTATTCTGAATTAAAGACAAAGTTCTCATATAAATACAACTATCAATTAGCTTAGTATGAAGATTCAAAGATTGTATATAAATGATTTCCATTAATAAATTATATAATAAAAAAATATAAAATTGAATTATAGAATATTTACAACTTTGATAAAATTAACTTTATAATGAGAGTTATCTCAACAGTCAGAGTGATCACTAAAGCTGAATAAAATAACAAATCATCTCTTATTATAAGGGGTTGAATCTCTAGATTTGCTCTGACTGACTGACTCAGCCTAGTCATCATTTACATATGCACATATGATCATGCTATATGAGCTTGCTTAAGCTTGAGTTCTCATCTCATTCTTTTCTTCCCTTTCTCAAGCAATTCATCCTTGTTATATAGGAGGACTAGCCTCTAGTTCTTAGAGCTTAACCCTTTACACTTATACAGTTAGAAAATATTAAATGAGCAATTGTAATTGAAGCAGTCAATGCTACAAACTAAGCTATATCTATTATAATTATATTCAAAGATAAGTATAATCAATTCTCATAATATGAGCAACTATTTAAAAATTGAATAATTGCTATTAGTGAAAATAATTAAATCATAGATAAATTTGATTTAATATAACTATAAAAAATATTCAATAAATTTATTAATATTTATATAATTGATAAAAAAAAACTACTAATTCTGAATAAATGTAATAGTTATATCACAGTTAAATTTAACAAGTTCTGTTTGAATCATGATATTGTAGTATTATATATATTTTTTCACTTCTTTCATCTACTGCAGTTACTAGATATAAGCTGTTTTTCATCATTGACGAAAGTATATAATAAGAAGATAAAGTAAAACATAAGGTTAGAAATTAATTATATTAATAAGAAAAAATTTTTGATTAGTTATACAGTAATTAGGCAAAAGTTTATAAAGAACACTACTATATGAAATGAATTCAAAGTTACAGATCTAGTATCATATAATTCAAATAAGATTATTACTCAATTTTATACTTAATTTCATACTTTTTTTTCTCTAAATTAATATATAAATTTTAGTTATTCTGAATCTATAAAACTTTTTATAATATAATTTAGTTAAAGTTATAAAACAATATTACTAAATGTTGAATAAAGATTCTTTCTAGTTTTATTAATTAAACTCTTAATCAACTAGTGAAAAAATATGAGTTAATCATATATAGTACTGCTATATTAGTAAAAAAAAAAATATAGAGTTAAAAGCTACTAATATCAAATAAAAGTAAAGAAGAGAGAAATTATATTTTTATATAAATAAGAGAGAAATTCTTACAGTTTAAAATATATTAACTAGAACTACTATATTTCAGAAGTCTGATTAATATATAGAGAAAAGAGTTGAAAATTTGAACTTAGAAATTAAGAAGTAAACATCTTCAATTTGCAGTAAATATAATACATCAGAATATAATATTTTACAGTATTATCAGATTTAAATATCTATTCTATATAAATTTTATATATAATTTTTTATGAATATTACTTAATTTAAAATTATATTAAATAGAATAATAAAAGTAATTCAGTCAATGATATAATTTGATAAATAATTAACTATATTAGTGAATATCTCAATTACATATATTATATATATCTATATACTTAGTAGTTTTATATAGCTCGCTTAAGAGTTCCATAATGCAATAATATTAATATTAGTTCTTTTAGAGATTATAAGTTTTTTGAATTAAAAATCTTCTATTATTAATAATAAAAATATTTAAAAAGAAGTTATAGTTATGTTATAAGCTTATAAATTTAAAATTAAATGTTATTAATAATTAATATATATTTTGATAAAATATCAGATTTATCAAAAAAATACATATTTAAAAAAAGATAAAATTAAGAATTTAAGAATAGAATTTGAGAGAATAGAACTTTAAAGCTTATAAATTTAATATTTATATTTATTATAATTTAAAGAAGTACTTTTAAAGTGTTTAATATAAATAAAATAATTTTAAGAAAAATAAATAAGTTTAATATTATATATAAAGATTAGATTGATAAAATATTATAAAATAAAAATAACTCTAGTAATTAAATATTAGAAGTTAGTAAAGAAATTTTGATAAAACTAAATATTATAAAACTTAATTAAAAATTTAAACAATTAAAAATAGTTAAAAGATACTTATTATCAGTACTAGTAGTAATGAAATAAATAAAAATTTTATAAATTATCTATAAAGAAAAAATAAAACTACTATTATAATAAAAAATTTAACTAATTTTATAAATTATTTAATATAAAAAAAAATTCTATTGACTATTAAATAGTCTAAAACTAATGATATTTTTTTAAAAAAGTAATTTACTTCTGAAAATTATATCAGTATAAATATATAATACTTTTAAATTAAAAGAAATATATATTTTTATAATTATATATAATTTATAATCTTATTTATAGTAAAATCTTATTTTATAATATTTTTAAATTATCAATTATCTGTATATATTTTATAAATATTTATAGAAGAAAACTTTTCAAAATAATTTATAATTTGAAAAAAATATTAATACTTATAATATTAAAATATATTTTATAAGATTATATCAAAATATTCTATTTTATTTATCAATTATTTAATTTAACACTATTACAATAAATATAAAAAATTCTAAAAGTAAGAATAAAAATTTTAAAATTAAAAATAAAGATAAAAATAAAAAAATTTAAATAGAATAATAATAATATAAAAAAAAATACTATTACTGTTAGAAAATAAAATATATAAAAACTAATTACTAAATAAAATATTTAAAAAAAAATACTCTGTAAACTGTAAAAAAAAAAAAAAAATAATTATAAATATAAAAATAAAAATATTGACAATATTATTTTTATTTATGATATTATAAAGTAAGTATTTTATATCAAAGAAATAATATATTTTAGTAATAAAATATTAAAGAATATCTAAGTTTTAGATTTTAAATTAAAAATTTATATTATATCTTTGAAAAATATTATTAAAATTATATTTTATAAAATATATACTATATTAAAGATGATAAATAAATCTACAGTGTTAGTAGTAGCTATAGAAAGAATATATATTTTAACTAAGAAATTAAATATTTAACTAAATAATATCTATCATATTCTAAAACTAAAGATCAATTTAGTGTGCTTCAATAAGCTTATATACAAAGATTATACTTTTAAATAATTAATATATAATAATAGTAATTTATTTTTAATAATATCTTTCTAATAAAATAATAAATTTTATAATATATATAAATGAAAAAAAATATCTATATAATGAAAAAATTATCAGTATTAAGAAATTTAATTTATTTTATAATATTAAATAATAATTTTGAATCTTTATACATCTTATAATCAAATAGTAATTCTGTACTAAAGCTATTTAAAAGCAATATCATAATTTTAAAATACATGATAATATAATAATATCAAAAGCTAAGTTATTTAAACTCAGTAAATATATTAAAAATAACTGTAAATTTTAAATTAGAAATATAAATAAGAGATTAAAGTACCTTATCATTTTATAAAATATGTATATAAGTAAAAATAATCTATATATTTTTTATTTTAATGATTAAAGCTATCAAATCAATAATGAGATTTTTTGTAAATCTTATATATAAAAGTAAAATATTATATAATAAAGATAATCTATCTACTGAAGAAGATATCAGATATTGAATATAAATTATTATAATTATTATAAAGATAAAGATTATATCAATTCTTATAAACTTCAGTAATATAATTGAGATAATATCTCAATGATCTATAGTAATTCTATACTGAAATGATAGAGATAAGTGTAAAGAATTAAGCTTCTAAGAACTAGAGACTAGTCCTCCTATATAACAAGGACAAATTGCTTGAGAAAGGGAAGAAAAGAATGAGATGAGAACTCAAGCTTAAGCAAGCTCATGTACTGTGATCATGTGCACATATGCAAATGATGACTAGACTGAGTCAGTCAGTCAGAGAAAATCTAGAAGTTCAATCTCTTATAATACTCTTCTTCTCTCTCTTTATTGTGGGTCTTTACAACTATTTAAAGCTCTCTTTACATCTAATTTTGCCTGCTGAGAGGCCTTCTAAGTGTTCAAGACCTTCACTTCTTATAGAAGAC